GAACGGGAGCAGAATAGTATTTCTACAAGAACATTGACAATCTTACATGAGATCGTCAGTGTTCTTGCGGAAATTCAAGCGGCCAGTGTAGACAGCTGGCAAGTTCATGGCACATGCTGTGCAGGTAACAACAGCAGACCTATCACCATCCATCCCAGCTGTCCTGGAGAAAGGATTTAAAAAGAAAGGCAAGAGAACCTCATACCCTTCCAAACTCCCTCTCTAAACTCTCTGTTAGCACTTACTTGGTCACTTGCTCACTGTTTTATAAAGCCCCTGGACTGCCTGAAAGTCCTTCCCCCTACCAAGGCTCAGCCAATCAGCAGAGGCTTCTAGAATTCAAACTTTAATTAGAAGCCAACAGTTTCCACCTGCCACTCACAGCACATACTCCACAAAGGAGAGGGGGAGGGAAAAGGGGAAGTGAAAAAAAAACCTCACTCACAAGCACAGGGGAAAAAACAAACAACAACAACAAAAACACACACCAACCCTCACTCACAAACACAAGCTCAGCACACAACAAGAAAGCCCCAACCACAACACACCCTTCCCTCAAGAGTCCTGTATCTGCTTCTCCTCTACCTGGAGAACTCTCTCTCTAAAGCCTCACTCACAAACAGAGGAATTAGAAAACCACCACACACCAACCGTCACTCACAAATACAAGCTCAGCATACAGTAAGAAAGCCCCATTAACAACACACGCTTCCCTAAAGAGTCCTGTATCTGCTTGTCCTTTAACTGGAGAACTCCCTCTCTAAACTCCCTGTTAGCACTCACCTGTTCTCCCATTTTCATGGACCTTGGGAGACAGTCCAATCCTCTCCTGCATACAGCCCCCCAACCCTAAGCAAATACTTTATAGCAGCCACACACCACACCATAGATATACTCACCCAGGAATGTGACAAATCCCATTGCCAACTTTGTCCACCATTGCAGGACCTAACCACATAAGTCATAACATCAGGGGCTCATCCTCTAAGGTAACATATGCCATTAAATATCAGCAATGCCCCTTTTCGATGTATATTGACCAAATTAGACTGTCTGTGAAAAAGGCTTAATGGACACAAATCAGACATCAGGAATAGTAACACATATAAACCTGTAGGAGATCATTCAATAATGAGTTTAAAAGTAGCCATTCATCTACAAAGGAATTTTATCACCCACTTACAGAGGTAGACTGCTGAACTGGAGGTTGACAATCAATTTGGGCTTCAATAAAGATATTAACTGGCTAATGTACTATAAAGGCAATTTTCCCTGCCTTTGATATTCATATTTGCACATCAAAAGCTATGAATGGGACACATCCATCCTTACTCAATTAGCATCATTAGCACTGGTCCTACAATTGACAGGTAACTGCATGTAACTGATTTTGATGTTATATATACTCTGGATTCTGTTATTTCTATTCCAACTCATCTGATGAAATGGGTTTTACCCAGGAAAGTTTATGATATTATATATTTTTTGGTCTCGAGGGGTCCCACATAACTGCTCATTGTTTTTAAAATTACAGACCTGCTGCTGTGAGATGCCGGTTCTAAACACAATTTGAGGCTATGTCAAAAGTGACACTGCAGTCAGAGTCTGCTTCTCCAGCGTGAGTCAATTAGTAACAGAGGTAACTTGCCTAAGGGAGGAGATCTGGTTACAATGAAAAGTTCAGTACAGAGACTACCATGTGCCCGATTGACAGGCCAGGAAGGGGAAGCCCATTGTGTTAGACACATTGAACAAAACTCTAACATACCATTGGAAATCAGATGGCAAATTCTGTCCCTCCTCAGCAGCCACAGAGCCATATGGAACGAGAGCAGCAATAAGGCAGGAGCTTACTCAGAAAATGTGTATCCTTTACGTTTGTAGGGGCTCATGCTGGGCTGGTACAGAAAGATTTTAAGCAGTTCACGGGCAGGAACAAAATGGTGGACTCCTAACTTCATGGATCACTGGCTATTCACTTTCCATGAAGCTAGAGAAGCAGGGCTGACTGAAAAATTCTGACATAAAATCTTTTTTCAATAGAAATGTGGGGGTTTGACTAAATGAGCATTTTTTGCGGAAAGCAGTATCTGACAGATTTTTCATCTGAAATCATTTCAAACCTGAAAAATGTTGTCCAAAACTCAGATATTGTATAATAGCCAAAGACATTTTGACTTTTTGACAAAAAGCCAACAATTTCCACAAAAAGAATCCGTTTTGCTATCTTTTATAGGAAGTAGACAGGGAGCTGGAGTGGTGACTGCCACTTGGTTAGTGAAAAGAACTCTGGCCCTTATGGAGTTCCAGTTTGTCAGCGGTACTTGAACTTCACATGGGAATATAATCTGCCCCAAAATTAATTATTAATCCACACAGAAAGGTAAGAATGTTTTGTAGTAATTTTTCTCCATATGACTTCAGCTAGGCCCTTTGGCTCACAGCCAGCATAAACAAATCCTTAAGAAATCAGTCTGAACTTTGAAAGATACATGAACAAGACAGACTTTTAAAATCTGAAGCTGCACAAAATTAAAAACACCAGACTAAGGTACTAAATTATTACAGGCAATGAGGAGTAATTCGTTTTACAGATTTTTTCCACAGTATTTGTGATATATATTTCTCAGTCTATTATCTGTATCTTTTTAATAGTGCCTCCAAGGAACATATTTTAATAAAGTATAGCAGTCTGGTTAAGAAAATGTTACGACACAATATAATTCAAAATAGCCTTCTCCAGAATACAGTGTACAGTACTACACAACACAAAATACTAGAAAACATAAGCAAGAGAAAAATAATTCCAATTATAATTTCATCGGCTTGAGCAAAAGGTCATCTGTTTGGAATGCAAATACATTATTTTCCTTTTTTTTTTTTTTTTAAAAAAATACCATTACCTTAAAGCTAGGAATGTATTCAATCCTGGAAGCAGTTAAAACAATCTATGGTGTTCTGTAATGGAATTAGAAGGATGTTTATATTAAACTGTGGTTTGTTCCTTTTATTCTATACAGCTAGCAGGTAAGTCTAGATGGTGATAGAAGTGTATAAAATGCTTTTGCTATTTTTATTCCCATTACTGGAAAAAATAGTGAAGGGATTATTGGCAAAGGCTGTAAAAATATAAATCTCTACAGAAATCTGAAATCTGCAGACAATCTGTTTACCAGTTACAAACCTCAACTGCAGAAATTTAACCCTGAATTAACTAGTGGCCACCACAGCACAATTTGGCAAAGTGAGATGTTTTAAGTGAACCCTGCGCTCCCTCTGCCAGTTAAGCCAAAAAAAGTATGTCATAGATGTGCTGTACATGATCCCCAGAGAATGGCATGTTGGCTGTACTGCACATCTCATTGTAGCTAAATCCATCTGGCATCAGTGCGGGCTGCAGAAGGGTTGTGTCTTGTCACTGAAGTGATGTGTATTGATGGCAGATAGTGAGTGGGAGATGAAAGATGAAAACAGTTTTTTTTTTTTTTTTTTTTTTATAAAGAGAAGCATGGACAGTGCTTCATATTTTGATGCATGAGGTGACTCACCAGGGAAAATGTACACACCTTGCTTTCTAAAAACAGCTTTAAAACTTCTCACTAAAACTAAAAAAAGAGGAAATTTCCTGTGTTAAATACAGTGAGTTTTGAGAAGCCCCACACAACATACAGAATAATTATGAAAGTTATGAAAGTTTAAACAAACACAATTGAGATTCATTAAATAATAAAGTAACACTGAGGTATTTAATAACCACAGGAAGTTTCAGCAAGTATGAATGACATGAATATAATTATTCTTTACAATAAGGAACAACAAGCCACACAATAAAAAAATATCAGAACTGTCATTTTCTTCCATTGACAAAGTGCTGGGCTGTCTCTTTTTATCAATTTTCTCCAGCTGCTACTCTGGCTTCCTACAAAATACAGATTGAAGACTAAAATCTTGATCCTTATCTTGAAGGCCATCAATGGCCTGGGTCCCACACACCTAAAAGACCATAGAAATGTCCAGGCTGAAGACTTTGACTGTCAACCCCTCAGGCACAAAACCGCCCACCATTCACGCCACATGCAATTCACATTTCTTCGATCTTGCAATCTCTAACACACATGACCAGCATGCACATTTAAAAACCAAACAAAAAATCCTACCAAAAGAGAAAAACTACACTGCACACGCAGTTCTCCTGGAGAGGTGATAAGAGGTGATAACCACACCTGACAGAGGTTAGTTTTGACACTTATTGTTGCAATGGAAAGCACTATGGGCATGCCTACACTAGGATATTATTTCAAAACAACTAAATTTGAAATAACTCCCAAAATAACAAAATCAAAATAATGTGTCCCCGCTATGGGAGAGCCTCGAAATTAGTCGAAGGCAGGCTCCGTTATTATGGATGTGCTACCTCAACTTAGTGCCCCAGAAAACTCTGGGGAGTAAATGCTTCAAGTAACTCTGGGCAGTAGTTATTCTGAAATAATTTAAAAGCTTTCACATTAATGCTATTTCAACATTAATGCTATTTCAAAATAACTATTTTGAAATAAGCGTTATTCCCCAATGAAAGCAGGAGTAACGATTTCAAAATAGTGGGCTTGGTAGTGTGGACTCTCTGCTTATTATTTCTAAATAAGAGGGGTTATTCTGAAACACAGTAATTCCCTAATGTAGATAAGGGTTCAGATACTATAGTGATGACGGAGGTACAAGAATCTATCAAGAACAGAGAAGAAGTGACTTCCTGAGCTAGTATGAATAACAGAGCTGGGGTTAAAAAATCAAGCACTGGATACAAGGAGTGTCTCTGTGTGTGGAAAAGTAAGCTGCTGTGTGACTGGATAAGGTTAGATTGTGACTCTGAACCCCTAGTCAAAAGTCCCTAGTCAAAGTGGTTTATAAAGTTTATAAATTAGATTCAGTGGTGGATATTTTGAATGAATTGTGGATTACTGAAAAAACTGCAATAAGAATGTATTTCTCATTGTTCTTACCTTGGTAGTGGTCCTCGTGTCCAAGGCCTATATTCAGTTTTCGGTCTTCAAGGACTCCCACTGTATAACCGTATTGAGCTAGGATGTGCTGATAAAGCTGAAGTTCTTTTTTACCTCGGGAAGGAGGAATGTACACAATTGCTCTTCTTGTATGACTCCCAAAGTACTTAAGAATGGAGTCTTCAATCTAATAGAAAACACAATGCAAAGACAACACCCATAAGATAGGATTACGGACATGGTTGTTATTTTTTACAAATCCATGTAATTGTTTTAGATACTAAACCAAATGGAGATTTTCCAGAATATGGAAGTGGTCATTGAGGTATTTAATTATCTAATTCTTAAATGATGGTTCTTAAGAGTTAAATGCTTTTTGGACCCAAGATCTTCACTTAGAACTAGACCAAAGGAGCAGAAGCAAGAGCGTGAGATGCCATGCAAAGTTTTCTACAACTGCTCCGCATTTCACTATGTATAAACAGCCTGAGAGCCATGCAGTAAAATAATTCTGTCCTCGTCTGCTGGTATGGAGATGAGAGGAGGGAAACAGAGGCTGCTGCCTCTGGGTCCTGGTTTGCTAAGATTCAGACAAGCAATCTCTCAGAACTCAAGAGGCTCTTAAAAGCCTCATGTTTTATCTTTGTAGATTGAGCTTCTCAAGGCAAGGTCAATGTCCCTATTCATGTTTTGCACAAGCATATGGCCAGCGCTTAACAAACAATAACATTATATGTAACTTTTATAGGGCAGGGAAGTGAAGCTCAGAGGGCAGAAGGAGGAGCCAGGAAAGGCTCTTTTACCCACTACCACGGATGTCAAGTCTGACAGGCAGCATGCAGAAGGAGAGAGAGCAGCCTGATGGGGATGTGGATGCTCAGATGAAAAGAGAGGTTGGGACTGGAGTCTTCCCAGGTGGTACAATAGGAGAGTGATACTCAGGATGGTTCAGGGGAGGAGGCTGCTGAGCTGGAAGAGGATGCAGGTGGACATTAGGCAGCAACTCTATTCTGCAAGCAGCCAGACATGCCAGAATATGAACCAGTCACCTTGTGGAACTCCTTGCCAGAGGATGCTGTGAAGGCCAAGACTATCACAGAGATTCAAAAAAGAACTAGATACATTCATGAGGTATAGTCAATCAATAGCTATTAGCCAAGATGGCAGTGATGGTGTCTCAAGCCCAGAAGCTGGGAATCAGTGACAGGGATGGATCACTTGATGATTACCTGCTCTGTTCATTCCTTTTGGGGCAGCTGGCATTGGCCTTCGTCAGAAGACAGGATACAGGAGGGGGAGGGAGAAGAAAAAAGGGAAGAGGAGGAAGAAAAAGAGAGATAGTGAGAAGATAGTTCAAATAGTTACAAGGGACTGTTAAGAACAATTCTTATCAGCCTCTTGTAGCTATATTTGAACCATCTACTCACTGCCTCTTTTTCCTCCCCTCCATTTTTCTCTTTTTTTCCTCCTCTCCCTCTTCCCCTTTCCCTTATTTATTCTTGTATCTGGACTTCCAACATTCCTGTCATCTGAAGAAGTGGGCTGTGTCCACGAAAGCTCAAACCACCATCTATATGTTTTGTTAGTCTTTAAGGTGCTATTTAAGACTATTGGTTGTTTTTTAAGTTTTTACACTTATATGGTGAGTCCAGCATTTTGTTTTGGAAGGAATTCATTCTGTGCTCACTCTAACACCTTGCAGGTAAGGAGAGGCAACAGAATTGCAGGGCCCCTGGGCAAGGTGTGGGGATAGGGGCTCGACTCTGCAGTCCCAGAAAGGGCAGGTCCTTGGATAGAAGGGGCAAATAAGCTACCATCTACTCACTGCCTCTTTTTCCTCCCCTCCATTTTTCTCTTTTTTTCCTCCTCTCCCTCTTCCCCTTTCCCTTATTTATTCTTGTATCTGGACTTCCAACATTCCTGTCATCTGAAGAAGTGGGCTGTGTCCACGAAAGCTCAAACCACCATCTATATGTTTTGTTAGTCTTTAAGGTGCTATTTAAGACTATTGGTTGTTTTTTAAGTTTTTACACTTATATGGTGAGTCCAGCATTTTGTTTTGGAAGGAATTCATTCTGTGCTCACTCTAACACCTTGCAGGTAAGGAGAGGCAACAGAATTGCAGGGCCCCTGGGCAAGGTGTGGGGATAGGGGCTCGACTCTGCAGTCCCAGAAAGGGCAGGTCCTTGGATAGAAGGGGCAAATAAGCTGGGGTGGCCAGCACTGCCCTTCCCCCCACCCCACACAGCCCTCAGTGCCACCCAAAGAGCACCACGCTATTTAAGACTATTGGTTGTTTTTTAAGTTTTTACACTTATATGGTGAGTCCAGCATTTTGTTTTGGAAGGAATTCATTCTGTGCTCACTCTAACACCTTGCAGGTAAGGAGAGGCAACAGAATTGCAGGGCCCCTGGGCAAGGTGTGGGGATAGGGGCTCGACTCTGCAGTCCCAGAAAGGGCAGGTCCTTGGATAGAAGGGGCAAATAAGCTGGGGTGGCCAGCACTGCCCTTCCCCCCACCCCACACAGCCCTCAGTGCCACCCAAAAAGCACCACATGGTGCTTTGGTGGTGATTTAAAGGGCCCAGGGCTCCAGTCACTGAGCGTAGCAGCAGTGGTGAACAGGGCCCTTTTGAATTGCAGGGCCCCAGAGCAATTGCCCCCTTCGTTGGTCCCCTCTCCCTCACACCTGTCGGCTGTCCATTAATCTAGAGCCTGCGCCTATGAAAGTTCTGTTTCCCCTACTCGTTAACCTCCCCTACTGGCTGACAGTTTCACTGTTCATGAGACCCAGATATGTCAGAATGTCAATACCAATGGGAGTCTATGGAGTTTTGAGTAACATGCTCTGTATGTTCAGCAATATGCTGGGGGAGGGAGGACTACAAATGCTGTGAGAGTCACACGGGTACATAAAAATAGCATGTTCTGCATGGAAAAACAGTGACTGTATCTAGAATTTCTTAGCTGCTGTTTTGCAAAAGGATAAGGAAAGTTACTTTATTAAACTGGATTTTCTCCCTGTGAGAACTATTTCTATTTAGAGGGCTTTAAATCAGGGTTATTATCTTTTGGCAAGTACATGAAATTTAAGTTGACATTTGAAAACATTCTATTTTGGAGACTACATTTTGTCTAGTTTTGTAAGTTTACTGGAAGTGCTATACAAATGAAGTGTCATCAGTCTTTATTAAGAAGCTATGCTGAAAAAAGGACAGATTTCTGGTATTAAGAAATACCATTCAAGATGCTTCAAGTTGTTTATAGATTTGGAAAGTTACTCTCACTGCAGTCTCTTCCCCAATCACAGGATGTAGCTTTATGTTACACTTGGCTCAAGTGTAAAATTCTTTGCAGCAGTGACAAGTATAAACTATTTTAGATCACTGTCACTCTTCTGTTTTTATTACAGAAGACACATCCTAATGAGTGGACTAAGCCTAACTGATAATGAGATATGCTAAAATATGTGTACAATACTACATAAGTCTTCCAGATATCTTTAATATATTTTAGATGTTAGAATATTCAAATGATAAATTGCGATCACATGCATAAAGGAACAAGAATAAACAGGAAATGATCAGGTCAGAGGAATTATGTTACATAAACGTGTAATAGATCCTCCTCCTGTCCTTGTAGTATTTTTATAGCATATTAGTCTAGCACAGTGAGTCTGACATGATCTGTGAAACATTGCCTTAATAATAGCCCTTCCTCTCTCCCCGATTCTGTTTTTTTCTTCCATCTTTCCTTTTCTCAGCTACACTTCCTATGAAATAAACAGTAACTATTAGACATCATCTCTCCTCAGATTGCTCTTTGTGGCTGCTCTACTTCTCACTCCCCCACCCTCCTCCTCCAATCCACCCCACATATGGCTCTTGCTTTGAACACTGGGTCTCTCTCCTACTCTCCTGCCTAGTATGTGATAACATCAGAGGTAACTGAGCCAATCATCCCCTACTCTTTTCCATGTTATGTACGTAATGCAAAGGAATCAGCATGGGAGCTACTCTTCTATCAGCCTTGCACAAGGACACGTGATCTTCCAATATGCTGTAAACCCATCAGGGTGAATTAAGGACAGACAGACAGAAAGCTTTTGGACCAGATCCAGAGCTACACTCAGGATCTGAGCCTTAATTTGGAATCACTGTCTCCTTTCAGTTTGTGTCCATTCCTTTCTAATATAGATTTTTAGTGGTTCTGGGTAAGGATTATGTCTTCCTCTGACTGGACACCATTTCACACACTCCCAGTGCTCAAGCAATAACGATGTATTTAATGTTCTTGTGTGCTTACCATCAGAGGACATTCTAAACAGATCCCTCCTATAAAATCTCTCTCTTGCAATGGAAGGTAATTTCCCTGCAGCAGCACTGGCAGATGCCTTTAGTATTTTGTTTAAAGCAGGCTTTAATTGTTTTCCCACATACCTAACTACAGTTTACACTGAAATTCAGAAGTACTACGGATACACTGCATGCCTCCTCACAGCCCATCCCTGCCTCCACTAATGGACCAGGGAACTCTTCACTTTGAGCTGTCTCTTGTCCTCAGAAGCACTACCATTCCTTCCAACTCCATACATTTGGTATTGCCCCCTGCTTTTTATTAAAAAGCCTGTGTCTTCTTTCAAAGTCAGTACCCGCCTCCTCCCTTCAGTGTCTGACTCCACTATCTCCTTATGGCCCATTTATTCCTGTCCCTCAACCACATCCACAGATGACAGCAGACACGGAGCTCACACTGCATATCTCTGCTGCACCCTTCCCTCTGATGCCCCAACCAACAATATTTCAGGAGTTCCTTAGTGGAAATTTGAGCCCTTACACGTCAGAAACCTTGCTTAAGAAAGACTTTTTAATGTGGTGATGATAAAATTTAGCTCCTTATAGACCTCTCCTCCAGAGCTCTCAAAGAATTTGACAAATAAGAATGTATATCATAATCCCCATTTTTACAGAGTTGAAAACTGCTGCACGCTGAAGTGAATGACTTATTCTGGTCACCCAGCAGCTTAGTGATAGAGACAGGAATAGAACTCAGGTTTTCAGAGTCTAGTATGCTAAACACTTGACAAAGATGTTTAAATGCCACCCATTATTAAATCATTGACACTTTCTGAATGGTAAGGTGGTCATATAAGATTCTGACCCACTTGAGTTTGCAAACCAGAAACCC